AAGTTTGGATCATTACATGGGAATCTTACAAGTATTCGAGAAGAACTTCGAAAACTTGGGTAAACCACAAATTTACATGCAATGATTTTTTTTTAAAGTTCTATTCTCTTAGTGAAATATTTCATTGTTTGAGGGTTAATTAGCCATGGTTCGGTAACATTCGATCCAAAATATTCACCGGGAATAGGATTATTAACATTGCAAAATCCAGAAAGACATAATGCACTAAGTGGCAAGATGATGGCAGAATTATCAGACATTGTGGATAAGTTAGAAAACATTGTTCAGTCTAATACAAATACTAATTTAAATTATGAGAATAAGTCAAATAATGAGAGTATGTTGAATAAAGAGAATAATTTAATTGGAATTATCGTTACTGGAAGTAAAAATACTTTTTGCTCAGGATTAGGTTAGCTTTTTTCTTTGTTTTAAAAATCAACATCTGATTATCACTTATTTTTATAATATGAAAAGATTTAAGTGTAGCAAAAGATCATATCCTAACTCCAGAAAACGGGAAAAAAATGAGTTTATTAATGCAAGATACACTATTTAGATTTGGTCAATTACCCTTAATTTCAGTAGCGGCAGTTGAAGGGTATGCATTAGGTGGTGGTGCTGAATTGGTGACTGCCTGCGATCACAGATGTATTTCAGGTTTTTTTTTTTTTTTTGTTGAATTAAGTGACTTTTTATAAGATAGCATTTGCTTCATAATTCTTTTTATTATTTTTTATCATACAAAAATTGAACATTTTTATTTGACATTCATTTCTTCATTAAAGAAACCTCAAAAATACGATTTGTTCAAGTCAAAATGTGTGTGATTCCCGGATGGGGTGGTGGAAAACGATTAATTGACATCATAGGAGAAATCAATGCATTAAGAATAATGGGAACTAGTGAACCAATAACTGCAAAGAATGGGCTGGAATTAGGATTTGTCGACGCTATTGCTCCACATGGTGAATGCGTTAATAAAGCACGCGAATTTTTAGATTGCTATGTTTACTTTTCAGAAAGAAATGAAGGAAAAGGTGGAAATAGAAGTGATAACATAAATGAGGATAGAATAAATTCTGTTAAGGCGGTATTTATTTTCTCGTTTTTATTAAGTTTTATTGAATATTGTATGTGCATACTATTGACATATGTGTGTTTATTAATTGTCATTTTTTAGGTAAGAGGATTAAAGTCATTAATTTCACGGGCGAAAAATAACGAAGAATATAAAAATTTCTTGCATTATGAGCATGAACTGTTCTGTTCGCTTTGGGGGCAAAAAGAAAATGTAGACGCAGTTCTTAAAACATCAAAAAATAATAAATAATAGATTAATTCGAGAATATCAAAAAAACATAATGATTTAAATGATCAGAAATGATCACTTTCCTAATGGATATATTTTGTTTGTGAATTTTTCGCACTGTATTATGTCAGTTAAATGACCTGTCGGGAAGATGACTGCAACTAAAAAATAAAAAATTATCGCTCCGTGTGATGCAGGTTAGATGGTTTGTCCGAGCGCAAACTGTCCTAGCGTTACCAACCTAAAAATTTCACTGGCCAATCGATCAGGTGTGACGCAGAAGAAACGCAAAAATCAAAACAAACCAAAAAAATCGCTTATAACTCAACATTTTATCTATGAAACCATCTTCTGCGCACTAACAAAAAGTTTCCCTGCGAAATTTTGGTATTACTAAAGTTTTTTCTAACTTAACTTCATAGCAAAACCTAACAGCGAAATTTTTTAGGTTAGTAACGCTAGATCAGTCGAGCGCAATGCCGTAATTGGTCGTATTTATAATGAATTACGGCAAAAAATGCCGTAATTCGCCTGCGCCGTGAATTAGAAAATCCGCTACGTAGATCACATGAGGGTGAAATTCGCTTTGGCATAATAAAAAACATAGCTAAACGCGGATTTCACCCTAACGTGATCTACGTAGCG